AGTTTGTTTTTCTGGGGCTTGTTAAGCCAGATTTCCCTTTTTCCCTCCAGTAAGGCACAACTTGGTGGGTTTTTACAAAAATAATAATGATGCATTAGTAGCACACAGAGCCCCAGGACAGGTTTGGAGGGTCAGGGGAGTCACTCACAAAAACTTTGTCCCCAACCACATTTTCCAGCTGCAGCTGCCTGGTGATCTCCTTCAGGGCCACGCTGTCATTTGTCTGCAGAAGCCCTGAAAGAAAGAAAAGGATTCTTCATTGATCACTGGCAGCTGCCCTTCATTCCCACCAGAAATGCAACAGCAGCTTCTCTGCCTTGCAGAGCTTTTTGCATTTTCAAAAATCAGCCCGGACAGTTTCTGTACCTGACAAGTGATTAATTCTGCCACCAAGAGCACAGAAGTTCCCTTTATTTAATAAATACAAAGAGAGGCATTTTAGAACTCACAGACATGTCCATGATTTAGGCTGGACTGAATTGCTGAAAGCAAGAATTTCACTCAGTACATACAAAACACAGAAGTGAATACAACCCTGGGTCAATGATGCTTTACTTGCCATTCAGGTGGACTTCCAAGAGGTTCTCTCTCACTTGTTCCATTTCCCTGAGGTCTTTTAAGACATGATTTAATAACTAGGAAGGAAAAAATACAGAATTTCTGTGAGAAGATAATTTTTTAACAGCAAGGAATGTGTAATTACAGATATAGGACAGGAAACATGTTTGAGTAATTTCCAGACTAAAACCCCAAAATGACAACTTTGCATTCACCAGCCATGACTGTGGCACTGCATTTGCTCATTCTGCTGAACTGGGAGGGAAAGGAAAATAACTTTGCTATTTCAGTCACTTATTTTGGGCTAATATCTGGGGCTTTTGCCTTAATCAAAAAGCTTTATGAATTTGAGGTGTGAGAGAATTTGACTCTTGAGTTGGTGCCATATTCAGTTTCATGGCTTCTTTGGATGCTGTAGAAAGAAACTCTGCTTTAGATCTTAAAAGAAACTCTGCTTATTCTTTTCCTCTGGAAGACAAAACTAAAACTGCCCAATGACACCAACTGCTGCTTATAAAACTCCAAATTTGGTGTCCATCAAAAACTTGTTACTAGTAAAAACTTGTATTAAAATATCTGTAAGTAGTGGAAATGTTAAATTTAAAAAATTAAAAAGCTACTATTTGCTTTGGCTTCTTCAGAGGAGGATTTGTAGCTCCCACCTATGTGCAAGTATAAATATATATAAATATACAAATATATATATTTGTACATAAATATATACAAACATATAAAAATATGTACAAATATATATAAATATATACATATATATAAATATACACACACATGATTTTCTTTACTCCAGCATCTTACATTTGATGTATAAAAATGAAGCAATTCATTCTGCATAGGTGATTTTGCTAAATTATATTCTGTCTGAAAGGACCACAAATTTTTCATCACATCTTTTACAGTAAATATTAAAGACTTGAGTGTCTGAATAATGTTGAAGTATTGAACATTCAATTTAGAGGTCGTGTCTTCATGTGCTTCACTAAGGAGAATTCCCTTAAAATACAAAACCTACACTGTTGGAGATTTTTTCAGAAATGGCTTAAAAGGCAGCTGTGAGGAGCAAACTCTCACAGCCTGTTTCTGTAAACAACCAGGTTCTCAGGGTTCTCAGACAGTTTTCTCATAGCAGGTAAATATTCTATCTTTGGCTGTTTTGGGAAAGTAAAAGTAAGTTTTGAGAACACAAATTTTGGTATTGGAAATAAAAGGAGGAGCTGAAGTGTTCTCTACAGCCTATTGGGAGCTCAGGTTTTGCAATATGCATTATGAATTGCAAATTTTGCAATTTGCAATATGAATTAGCACTGTTATAAAAGGTGTCTGATCAATAAACTGGAGTGGATGCTGACCAACAAAGGTGGGTCATCTCCCTTCACCTCAACACTACACTTATAAACCATAACCACCAAAAAATATTCTGCTCCATGGCAGGTAACAACATTCCTGACCATTCCCTGCACACACACCAATGGACAAACCCACCCCTCAGCCTATTCCTTTTAGAGCTTTTGGATGCCTTTTTGTCATTTTTACAGTGAGGGCCCACAACCAGGTTAATTAAAGAGTAATCAGAACACGGCTTTAATTGCAAAGGTGTTAGGAGCAGATTTTTCCATGCTGTTCTTGAAGAGAATTCACACAGAAAGTGCTGGGATGTTTGGAATTTCTCTGCAAAGGCCGTGCTGGGCCCACAGGAGCTGCAGGGGCTGCTCCTACCGCGGATTTGCCGGAGCCGCGGGGGCCGATGAGCAAGGCGGAATTGCTCTCCCCGTGCACCGTGGTTCTCCTCAGCAGCTCCAGCAAATGTCTGTGTAGGAAACAGAAACAGGCTGAAACCCTCACAGCTGACAGCATCCCCCAAACCCAAAGGAAATTCAAAGAGTAAAATTCAATCCAGTTCAGCTTGCTCTGAGAGCCAACACTCAGGGCGTGTGAAATGTAATACAATAAAGTGCAAAGGGCTCAGTGATCAGAGCTCTTAAAATACTTTAAAATATTAAAGCATGCTGAAGTTGAGAGTATCACTAATTCATAAAGCTCTGCAATTCTCAAGGACAGATCTCAATAATTATTTCTTTCTTTAAGCTTTCTGTGCTCCCACTGTTCCTCCCCAGCTGTGAATTACCTGCAGCCAGACTCAGCACCACATTTACAGTGCTCACAGCAGCCAATGGCACCTGCAATTCCCAATGCCTGGGAAATGCTCACACCCCAATAATTCCCAATATTCCACATCAATAATGTGGAATATTGATGGGAAATGTTCACACCCCAATAATTCCCAATATTCCACATCAATAATGTGCTTTTGGAACATGGGATACTGACACCCTTTGCTTTTCAGAATTTCAGTATAAGCAGGGGAGGCTTGTTTTGTAAAACTGACATGACAGAAATGCATTTCCTCACAGCAGCAATAAAATACCTATGTGAGCTCTGCACAAAATTTTAATAAATGGTTTTGGCCCTCTTGTAATGAAAACTTGTGCTCACATCAGGTGATTCCACTTAATTTAAGTCAGCCTTGGAAAAATTAATTGTTTTAAACAAGTTCTTTAAATACATGTTTGTTATCTGCAGAATTTGACCTGCATCTGTAAAATTATCAGTACTGGGACGATGTTATTGTCCCACTAAATCCCTTATTCCTAACCCTAAATTCCCCCTCTGCATGGCTCCAGAAGGAGGAGTAAATTTGGATTTCTGTTTCAACAAACACAGAAATGTTAAGATTTACTTCTAACACAGCTCACCAACAAACAGGAGAAAATCTGCAGTAAAAATGAAGTATCACAGCAAGAGAATTTAACTTCTTGCTTTGCCAGGCCATTACACAAAGTCTTAGGAAATGAACTGAGAGTATCAAAAAGAAAAGGGCTTCATGAATGAGAGATGCAAAACAAGGACAAGAAATCCAAACCTCAGAGGCTGACAAAACCAGAAGGGAACAGCTGAATAAAAACTGTCAAACTCGGAGGTAAATAATTGTTAGAAGCCCTGGGCTGGAAGTCATTTAAACCTGCACCATTTGGTAAAACAGAGAGGCAGAAATTCTGATTGCAGCAGACTTTCACTGCTGCAGGTAAATCAGAAACCCCTGAATCCTGGAGCTGCTCCCTCACCTGTGCTGCTGCTCCATCCCAAAGAGCCTCCCAGCAGCACAGTGGCGACAGAACCTTTCCCGAAGGATTTTCTGCACCTGCGGATGGAACACAGCACAGCAAAAATGGCTGGGGCACCAATAATGTCACTACAGCAATCAAATAACAGCAAATTAGGCACTTCTGTGGTGTTGCAAATATTCTATAATACATCAATTTTTACTGTTATCAAGGATTTGAAAGTAAGAATAAAGTTGCAGGAGGCAGAATATGGTATAAAATAAAAAGGAGAAAAAGCAATTAAAATACATAAGAAATCACTGATCCAGGGATAACTCCTTGCAAGATGAGTTGCAGTTTTTAACCAGCAACGTTAGGAAAACAGGAGAATAAAGGTTTAAAAATACCAAATAAACTAAGAAATAAAGGTTTAAAAAAAACCAAACAAACTGATTTGGCAGCTGCTGTCCTGCTGCCAAAGAGTCACCTGGGTTCTGATTCACCCTACAAATTAGGAGATAAAAAACCTAAATGGATAAAAATAGATTTGTGCAATTCTGGTGCCACAAACAGTTGCAAAAGAAGGATACCATCCTTTAAATTTTTTACTACATTATTATTGTAGCACTTGAAGCAAGCAACAGGTGGGAAGCTGAAAGAAATACAGATACAAAAGCCATTCAGTGCCCTAACAATTGAATCCAGGATCTGTACAAGTTTTTCTAACTGGTCAAGGAAAAAAAAAATACAATTACATGAATGGCAAAGGGTGGAAAAGTTCCATAAGTTGAAAAGAATATAACAATAAAGGTGTAACTGACCTGGGAAATGCACTCAGCACTTTCTCCACTGCTCTCCCTCAACTTTCGCTTGCTCATTGCAGAAGGTTTCATCTTTGGAGGAAATAAACAGTTTATTAAATAGCACTGCTTTCCAAACAGTCCCAGTCAGAAACTGTGCTTGGATGTTGGTCATTTTTAAGGACTGTAATGAACATCTGTTCTTAACTAATAAAGACGCAGCAGTCCATCTTCCTACTGAAAAAGAGCCAAAACACTGAAATAATTTAAAATTTATTTCTGATAACATTAATGTTTACACACTTCTCCGAAACAGCACTGGCTTTAGGATGCTTTAGAGAGTTTAAAATTATGTCCTTATGTTTCTGCAGCTGGAACAAGCTACAAGAACACCATTAAGACACAGGAATTAAGTTTTTACAGGAATAACTGGCCATCCTTATTTATAACAATAACCACAGCATCTCCCTGGACAAGTTGGATCTGAAGGGGTCCTAAGGGGATTGGGGGGGTTTCTGAAGAGATTTGGGTAGATCCAGAGGGGGATTGAGGGGAAACCTTTAGGGACTGGGGGACCTTGGGGGGGATAATGATGGGATTGAGAAGTTTGAGTGGGTTGGGAGGGGGATTCAAGAGGGCCTGAGGGAGGCTCTAAGGGGGAATTACAGGTCTTGAGTGGGATTTAGGAGTGGTCCTGGAAAGGGTTTGGGGATGGCCCTGAGGGATTTGGGGTGAGGAATTTATGGGGGCTAGGAGGGTCTGGGAATGCTCTGAAAAGGGGGTCGGGGGAAGTGTCCATTTGGGGAGGGATTTGGGGAAGGGCTGTGGGAATGCGGAAGGTGAGGGAGTTGATTTTTCGGGGCTGGGAGAGTCTGTGACGACCCCGATGAGGGAATGGAGCGGCCACAAAGAGCTTGGGAATGTCCATGAGGGGCTGCGGGGACGCTGAGAGAGGGTTTTGGGAGGACCTTCAGAGGTTCCAGAAGGAAATTAAGGGGGGCTCTACAAGGCTTGGAGGGTCCTGGAGTACTGTCCGGCCCCCCCCACCTCCCCTCACGACATTTCCCGCCTCTTCTCCATCACCTGAGGGCGGCCACCGCCGCTCGCACGCTCCCCTCAGCCCTCACCTCACCCCTCATGGCACCCGAGCCCCCTCCCAGCAGCCATTCCTCCCCTCAGGAACGGCTCCCCCGTTACCCTCCTCACAGGCTGTATCCGCGGCTCCCTCAGAGACGCCGGAGCCCGGGCAGATGAAGGGCGGGGAGGAGGGCGCATCCTCCGCAGCTGGGCACGTCC